GGGGGATATGACATTTACAAGTGGATTTTCTCTCTTTTAGCACCATCCCCTTGGGGGTGTTGAAGGCCCCGGCTGAGCAAGACCCCATCTGTGAGTAACACACCCAAGGGGGGTACCAGGGTGGGGCAGGACCCATTGAGGGGGGGCGGGGCTTGTGGGGGCTCTATCCATGTGGTGCGGGGCCTGATTTACAGCTGCTGCTGGGCGAGACTAAGGAGAGGGTCCCAGAGCTAGCCAGTGTCAGCTGAGCTTCTTGCCTCCCTCCCCACCTGCTCCCTGGGGGCCACCCTCCCCCCCCTCTAGTTCAGGGACTCCCTCTGTGGGCCCCCTATTCTCCCCCCCAGGCCTGGGACTTTGTGTGTCTCTCCTTCACTTCTCCATCAGACCTTCCCAGCCAGTGACCTGGGGAGAATCCCCATCCACTCCTGGCTCCCAGCCCCCTACTCTAACCACTAGACCCCACTTCCCTCCCAGAGCCAGGGTGACAACCCAGGGATCCTGACTCCCAGCCCCCCTGCCCCGCCATAACCCCCTAGACTCTGCTGCTGTCTCTGTGCCTCAGTTTTCCTCTCTGTAACATGGGGCTAATGACCATGGCTCATGCTGTGGGGCAGGGGAGGGGTCGCTGTGCCGGTCTCTGAGCCTCCTGGCTGGATGGAGGGGTTGGAGCTTGGTTTGGGGTTCTGCTCTGGGCTGGCTGGGGGTGCAGCTCAGCGGGTGTCTCTGTTCTGCAGACTCCTCTGTTGATGAAGGAAAAGAGACACAGACCCTGGTAAGTGTCCCCTGTTCCCTGATGGGGCCTGGCCCCCAACTCTGACCCACATGGGCCCCACTCACCTTATCTGGCACACTCACCATTTTGGGGTGGGGGTCGGGTTTCTGGGTGGGGCTTATGGGATCACCAGCTGGGATTGCAGGGGTGTGTGTGTGTGAGTGTGTATGTGTCCCTGTCACCCCCTGCTGGAGGGGACAAGCCCTGGTCTGTGTGAACATGTGGGCATGGGGGGTTGGTGCGCACACACAGACACACACACACACACACACACACTCACACACTCCAATGACTCTGTCCCCTCCCACCCCCAGGAGCCCGACCCTGACGGACTCACCTACGCGGAGCTGGACGGACGGGTGCTGCAGGCCAAGCGGGGGGGCCTGGCCCATGTCCCTAAGCCCGCCCAGCCCAGCGTGTATGCTGCGATCAACGTAAGCTGTGGGGCCCTGCAGTGAGAGCCCCCTACAGCCATGGGGCACCGGCCCTCAGTGGGTGACAGACTCACAGACTTTAAGGCCAGAAGGTCCATCATGATCATCTGGTCTGACCTGCTGCACATCACAGGCCACAGAGCCTCACCCACCCACTCCTGTAGCAGACCCCAGCCTCCAGCTGAGTCACTGATGGCCTCAAATCACGGGTTAAAGATGTCAAGTTACAGAGAATCCACCATTGACACTAGTTTAAACCTGCCAGTGCCCCACACTCCAGGCTGCAGACGAAGGTGAACCCCCGCCCCCGGGTCTCTGCCAATGTAACCTGGAGGGGAAATTCCTTCCTGACCCCAGATACGCTGACCAGTTAGACCCTGAGCATGTGGGCAAGACCCACCAGTCAGAAACCTGGGAACGGATTCTCTGTAGTAACTCAGAGCCCTCCCCAGCGAGTGTCCTGTCTCCGGCCATTGGAGAGATTTGCTGCTAGCAGTCGCGGATCAGGTCCATGCCCTTGTGGGATGTCTCCTCATCCCGTCCCCTCCAGAAACGTCTCAAGCTCAGTCTTGAAGCCAGTTATGTCCTTTGGGAGACTGCTCCAGAACTTTGCTCCTCTGATGGTTGGGCCTTGTCTACACTACAGAGTGTTGTCGACAAAAAGTGTGGGTCTGGACTAGCCTGTCTGGGTGGGCAGAAGGGAGCTCAGGGAGTTGGGGCAATGGGGCGGGGGAGGCAGCAGGGACCAGAGGCGATATAGGGGGTGGGGAGCTGGGGGAGGCAACACGGGCCAAGGCGCCAAAATACAAGTTCACCTAGGGGGTCATTTTCCCTAAGGATGACCCTGGCAGGGCTGGCCTTAAGTGTGGGCGAGGTGGGCGGTCGCCATGGGCAGGCGCCATGTTCACGAGGGTGTTGCTGGAAGGGGACTTGACAGTCACCAGGAAGCCGACCGTGGCAGTGGTAGTGGTGGTGGGGAACCTGTCATTGCGCCCCCCCCCATCCCCACTATCTGCAGTTACCAGTCACCTGGCCTGGGACAATGAGCTATGGATACAGAACTTTCAGATGAAGGAAGCCACCTTCCTGGACCTGTGTGAGGAGCTCGACCCAGCCCTGCGGCACAAGGACACCCAAATGAGAGCAGCCTCTTGTGGAGAAGCGCCTGGGTGTTTCACTGACATCAACGCAGGGTGGTCCAGGAAAGTGCCTGACACACACATCTTCAGTAACACTGGCCTGGACAGAAAACTGCAAGCAGGGACTTTCTTTCCAGGCTGGAAGATTCCAGTGGAGGGTGTTGAAATGCCCATAGTGATCCTGGGAGACCCAGCGTACACCTTACTCCCATCGGCTCATGAAGCCTTACAGGGAAAACCCGGACAGCAGCAAGGAGCACTTCAACAATAGGCTGAGCAGGTGCAGAATGACCGTGGAATGTTCCTTTGGCAGATTAAAAGCGTGCTGGCGATGTCTTTATGGCAGGTTAGACCTAGGTTAGGAAAACATTCCCATGGTCATAGCTGCCTGCTGCACGCTCCATAATCTTTGTGAGGCTAAGGGTGAAAAGTTTGCCCAGGGGTGGAGGCTGATCACCTGGCTGCTGATTTTGAGCAGCCTGATACCAGGGCTATTGGGGGGGGGCACAATGGGGGGCAATTCAAATCAGTGAGGCTTTGAGGTAACATTTTGATAATAAGCACCAGTAATGTGTATTTCTATTCAGCAATCTGCTATGATTCATTAATTTGAGTTTTCTGATTTTGCCTGACACTTGTGATGCATCCTGAACGTAAGCAAATGATTAAACTGCATGTACCAGCAATAATCACTTTGTGTAGGACACAAATAAAGATTGGTTCTCTTTCAGAGAATTTGTTTTTATTAAATACCAATTAACACAGAAAAAAGGCTTGGTGGGAAGAGAGGTAGTTGTGCAGGGCAGTGGAGGCTGTCATTGCTGTGTGTAAGTCCAGCTATCATTTTGGAAGCTGTCCGAAAGGATGGCGTGAACGGGATACCGAGATGTTCCAGAGAGTTCAAAAGAACATGTGGAAGGAGTTTGGGGAGGGCATGGAAAATAGCTCTGTATCGGCTGCAGAGGGGGGCAAGCACACATCTGTTCTAAGTGAAGCATGATGAGAGACTTCAGCATTTCTGTTTGCTCCTCCATGACTTTTATCATCCGCTCATGGGCCTTTTGAACACTCTCCAGACTCTCCTTTCTGTCCCGCCTTTCCATTTCTCTCCACGCCCTGTGTTCTCTTTTTTCTGCCTCTGAGGATTGAAGCACCTCCCAGAACATGTCCTCCATACTCCACCTAAGTCGCTTCTTTCTCTGGCAGAGGTGCTCCGCTGGTGTGTAGGGGTTTCCCCTGAAGGCCACATCTGCAGAAACACAAGAAGCAATACACAGAAGCATGATTGTTAGTTCACACACAGCATTGAATCATTACAGTAAAATACACCTCTTGTAACATACCAATCGCTTTCTCACAGACCCTGAGCAAAGCACACATCTCGGGGAACACCCTAAACATGGTGAGTTCAGCCTGTGTGGGTGGTGGGCGTTCAAACTGGGGCAAAGGGTGTAGGTGATGTTTCAAGGGGAACAGTGCAGATGAGTAGGGACAAGATTGTAAATTCTGTCACCATTTTCCACAGGCAGGGGTCATTGAAGCCAATACGTCACTCCTGAGGGTGTGCAAGGATGCATCTCCTGCACGTGTGTGGCTTCACACCCTGTCCCTATGCTGCTCTCCAGTGTTCTGCTTTGGTCCCTGCACAACTGATTGATGAGCAGTGTGGGAAAGTTTCCTACAGTGGGGGAAGGAGCAAAACAGCTCTGCCCGGGAACCTTCGGCAGCGGATTGGCAAGTACCTCCAGGGAAGTTTCCTACAGATCTCTCTGGAGGATTCCCATGAAATCTCGGAGTGCATCAACACCCTGTTCCGCCGCACTGCTTAGCTGCACAGGGGAATGTGGAGCACATGCAAACACAGCTAGTCTTGTACATTTCTATCCCTTCACCCGCTTCTGCAGTATACGGAGCAAAGGACACCTGTACGTCATATAACAGAGCAACATCAACTCAAAACGGTCACTTACCAGGGGTCTCCTCTCCTGCATCTTGCTCGCCAGAGATGTGCTGCTGGGGTTGGCTAGAACCCTCTGGAGTGGAGAAGAGTTCCTGATGGGCTGTGTCACCAGACAACCCTGCTGTAGGCCCCGCTTTGTCCTGCAACTCCACCTCCTAGTCCACGACTTTGGCCTTGGGGTTAGGTCCATGGTCCGCTGCCTCCTGCCCGGCCAAAGTGTCCACGAAGCTCTTTGCAGTGGAGTGGGGTCACTGCCGAGGATGGTGTCCAGCTCCTTATAAAAGTGGCAGGTCTTCAGCGCGGCACCGGAGCGACGGTTTGCCTCCCTTGTCTTCTGATATTCCTGCCTCAGCTCCTTTATCTTCGCTCTGTGTGCACCATGTCCTGACCATAGCCCTTATCACACAAGCCAGGAGAAATCAGCCTGTAGGTGTCGAAGTTCCTTCAGCTGGAGCGGAGCTGGGATGGGACGGCCTCCTCTCCCCATGCACTTAGCAGATCTAACAGCTCCGCATTTCTCCAAGCAGGGGGCTTTTGCCACGTGGAGCCGCCGTGGTCAGCTGGGAAGATGAGATGTGAGCTCTCCGCTGAGCAAACAGGAAGTGGAATTTCAAAAATTCCTGGGCCTTTAAAGGGGGAGGGGCAGACGGTTGTTTAGCTGGCTGCCGGGCAGCAGAGTTCGAACTGCTGACCAGAGCGGTCAGGATGGGCATTATGGGACACCTCCTGGAGGCCACTTACAGTGACACAACCAAACACGGTGTGGTCAATGACACTGTCGCTAAAACTTTGCCGCAAAAAGATCTACGCCTCTCGTCCAAAGGGTTTTATATTGTCAGCTAAACAGGGGAATTTTGTTGGCAAAAGCGGCACTGTAGTGTGTTCACTTCCCCTGTTTTGTCGACAAAAGCTGCCTTTTGCTGACAAAACTGTGTGATGTAGATGAGGCCTTAGAAACCTTCATCGAATTTCAAGCCTAAACTTGCTGATGGCCAGTTTATATCCATTTGTTCTTGTGTCCACATTGGCGCTTAATGGAAATAACTCCTCTCCCTCCCTGGTATTTAGCCCTCTGATGTATTTATAGAGAGAAGAGCAGTCAGATCTCCCCTCAGGACTTCTTTGGGTTCAGCTAAACAAGCCAAGCTCTTTGAGTCCCCTTTCATAAGACAGGTTTTCCATTCCTCAGATCATACTAGTAGCCCTTCTCTGCACCTCTTCCAGTTTGAATTGATCTTTCTTAAACATGGGAGACCAGAATTACACACACTATTCCAGATGAGGTTTCACCAGTGCCTTATATAATGGTATGAACGCTTTCCTGTCTCTATGGGAACTACCTTGTCTGATACATCCTAGGACTGCATTAGCCTTTTTCACAGTCACATCATACTGGGGTCTCATAGTCCTCCTGTGATCAACCAATACACCCAGGTCTTTCACATCCTCTGTCGCTCCCAATTGATACGTCTCCAGCTTATAGCAAAAATTCTTGTGGTTAGTCCCTAAATGGATGATCTTGCACTTTGCTCTATTAAATTTCATCCCATTTCTATTACTCCAGTTTTCAAGGTCGTCCAGATCTTCATGTATGATGTTCCTGTCCTCCTCCGTATTGGCAACACCTCCCAACTTTGTGTCAGCCGCAGATTTTGTTAGCACACGCCCACTTTTTGTGCCGAAGTCAGGAATAAAAATGTGAAATAAGTTTGGTCCCAAGCTAAGTTCCCTGTAAGCTGCGCAGCCGCGCGGCTGCACAGCAGCCTATTTAGCACCACGCAGGCGCGCAGGAGACCCACCTGGCCGGGACTTGCCATTGCTGGGGTCCCCTCCCCCAGCCTGAACCCAACCTTGGCCCAGACTTGCTGTGGCCGGGGGAGGAGCACCTATCCCGCGGCCCCAGCCCCATAGCTGCCGTAGCAGAGACAGGCGTCTCTCTCCCCAGCCCAGGTGCCAGGAGACAGAGCTGTGGGGAGTCCTCTCTCTCCCCACTGTATCCCTTGAGCATCCTCCTGCACCCCAAACCCCTCATCCCCGGCCCCACCTCAGAGCCCACACCCCCAGCCAGAGCTCTCACCCCCTAGACCGAACCCTCTGCCCCAGCCCTGAGCCCCTCATCCCCGGCCCCATCCCAGACCCCACGCCCCCAGCCGGAGTCGTTACCCACTGCACTCCAACCTTTGCCCCAGCCCTGAGCCCCTCCCACACTCCAAACCCTCGGCCCCAGCCCCGTCACATTGTTGTGTGCACCAATATGGAGGGGACGTGTCACACGTAACAAAATTAATTCTGCACACGTGGGAAAAATTAGAGGGAACATGGATCCCAAGACTGATCCCTGAAGAGCTCCACCCATGACCTCCCTCCAGCCTGACAGTTCCCCTTTCAGTGTGACCTGTTGTTGTCTCCCCTTCACCCCGATCCTTCTCCACCTTTCAGTTCTCGTATTAATCCCCATTTTCTCCCATTTAACTGATCGTGGCCACGCTGCTGTAACACTCCCGTGTAGCCGCTCTGTGCCGAC